CAGATTCGGGGTCCTCTAGGGTAGCGCAGCACAACCCCGCCTTCAAAAAAAAAAAAAAAAATCCTTTCTGTGTTTTTGCGTCGCCCGGTTTTGCTGGGCGGACCCCTCCGGGCCCAACCGGCCGGGCGGCGGCCCAGCCTAGAAATAAATAAAATTGGCGGTGGGGTTTTCCCTCGCTCTCCGAGAGGAGCCCAAATCCGGGCTCTTTTCCTTTTTTGAGAGTTGGCTGTCAAGGGGGGGGAAGGGAAGTATAGATGAATTTTAAAGGGGCTAAAGGGGTTTAAAGGGGGGTGCCTTATAGTGTGATTTGGCTTTTTTTTCTTTTTCTTCAGTTCCGTGAGGAATTCTGATGTGACCCTCAGCCAAAAGTTGTTTGTATTGCAATTCTACACAACATTTTTTTTTTTCAGATTTTATGGGAGGCTGTTTTTTTTTTGTTTTTGTTTTTTTTTGCGCTGAGGCTGCCCGGGCCCATGGCCGGGGGTAATGCCCGGCCGGTCACCCGGTCGCCAGACCGAGCGTGACGTCGGGGTCCGGGCGCCCGGGATATCTCCCTAGGTTGTTGGGGGTACTTCCATGTATGGAAGTCGGCAGATAACAGATTTGACAACTCCTAACTCGAAGGACAGGCTTATCTAATTGCCCTCAATTTCATTTCTCTGTCTTTCGTGTTCCTCATAGAGTCCTCAGTGTGAAACGCTGTGGTTGGGGGTACTTCCATGTACCCCCCCTGGCGCACCAAGGTTTGCATTCATCGATAAATACCTCCTTGACAACTGCAGAACAATGTCTCCAACCCTAACTACCTCCTGTCCGACCATGGGGTTGCCTCCGACCAACTACCTCCTACACAATCGCAGAACAGTGTTTTCACCCACAAGAGTGGCTCCGAACGATGTTTTCTCAATTGTTTGCCACTACAGAACACCCAACCACAGCAGAAGCTAGGCTACCAGCCGGGCCGCCTGGGTCATTTCCGGACGGCCCGGCCGTGCAAGGACCAGGTAATCCTTGCAAAAAAAAAAAAAAAAAAAATCAAACAAATCCAAAAAAAAAATATGTTATGCAGAAAAATAAACTGAAAACGTTTGCCTCAGGGTCACATCGAAATTTTTTACCATATTTAAAATACAAAATAAAGTTTTTTTTTTTTTTTTTTTTTTTGCCCGGCCGGGCAAGTGGCCCCGGGCCACTCTGGTAGCCTAGAGCAGAAGACATCACAGCCGCACATATAGTTGTCATATATGATCATTCATACAGCCAAACCTGGATGTAACACAGGACACAAGGAACACTTTGACACCGCAGAACAGTGAAACATTGCGTAAGAAACATAAACATAAATGCAAACGTACCTGCTCAACACTGTAAATGTACACTGGTTCGCCTAGACTGGCACTCCATAGATAATCCTCTACCTTGTCCTGCGTTTCTGAAGCCGAGAGCAACATTTAGTACTCACTCACCAACGTGCTAAGACGATATCCATAGCAAATTACTAAAATTAGCAATAGCAAAACCCAGAAACAGAGGCAAAAGTTTTCCCTACTTCCCACCGTCTCCTTCCCCACCTAGAGGAAATCTAATGCAACACACCCAGGAGCAGAAGCAAAAGTAAACCCTGCGCACTAGACCCCTCTCGCCCCTGGCCCTACCCCTGCGTACCCATCCAGACGATATATATCTCATGCAACACTCATAAACAGAAGCACAAATCTACCCCGCTTCCCACCAACCACACACCCTCACAACAGACACATATGCAACCACACATGGCAGTAGACCAGCAGTTGTGGGCGCAACTGCAAGAAACGTGAAATGCATGTGGACATACTGGTGACGTTTTGAAATGCAAGCTGCAGCATCTCCTTTCGCAATATCTATTTGTTTCTGTTTCACCTAAATTCTGTGTTATGGACTTTCAATTTTCAAGGGCTATTAATATTCGTTTTTTTTGTTCTTCCTTCCGGACAGCCGTTACACTGGGAACAATACAGAGAAAATTAGCACCATCCTGTGCAAGGATAACACGTACAAATCAAGAAATATTCCCTGTCCTCAAGTTTTGTTTTTAACATACTAACATACAACATGATACAAGCATATTATGATTACCTTTATCCTCTCTCTCTCTCTCTCTCTCTCTCTCTCTCTCTCTCTCTCTCTCTCACACACACACACACACACACACACACACACACACA